GGGGGGGGGGGGGGGGGGGGGGTAGGCCTGGTCCCTGCACCTTGTTTCATATGGGAGAGGAAGTAGCAGAGAGAAGAGGAAGAACGCAGAGGGATCGAAGGAGAAAGAGACGCAGGAACAGACTGACACAGTCACAGAGTGTGTTCAGTGAAATCTTTCTTTTCCATATAGGTGGTCTCTGGGTGGTCTCTGTCAGCACGCGTGTGCGTGTGTTTCTTGGTGTGTGTCTACGCGTCTGTCTCCGTGAGGCCGGCGGATGATGGATGAGGGCTCAGCCGACGGCAAAGCCAGACGTCGACGCTATCGATTTGTCCTCACATTCGTCTGGGGGGAGGCGACGCGCGGCGGCTCGCCACGATGAGCATTTCAACACAGCGCGGCTCGATATTTGTGCTCACACACACACACACACACTCATACAGTATTTTCTCCATAAGTATTTCAAATGGGCGATGATTCTCTCGCGCCAGCAGAGCCTTGGTAGAAATTGTTCATTGTCTGCTGAGAACAATGAGCGTGTCCCTCCTCGCCCAGGTGTTTTTATTGATCCGCCTGCAAAGTGGCATCCACTTGTTTAACATCCAGACTAATACACTTCAACTGCTCCGGCCTTGTCAGTCCACCTGCCTGCTTTGTGCAAACGAAAGGTTTTTGCGGTTCTGTGTTTTCCTGAAGAACAGCCGACATGTGTGTTCATGAGCCTGGGGGCGAGTGTGTGTTTTTCTACTTGTAGCGTTCACTTGCGTACTCACTTGCATGGCTGCTCAAGGTTTTTGTGCGACTGTCGAGAGTCCTTGCTGCGTCCAGCCCATTGAGCAACGAATTAAGGCTGCAGAGCAAAGTTGCGATTCTCTGCGCTCAAGGCTTTGTGGTTTTTTTCCCCTCACTCGTTTTGCTCTTCGGGTAAACATAATCAACGTTAGCAAATTGGAAGGACGTCCATTCTTCTCACTGCCCAGCCATCTTGAAAATGGCCCCAATTATCAAGGACACTGAGGCAGACAGAGACGACTATGAGTGAACAAGATTACCCTTGAGTTGTAACAAGAGGTAGATAGTGGAGCAGAGAGAGAGACTGGAAGAGAGAATGAAAGGACCTGAAGAATCGAAGGATTTTCAGCAGAAATGTTCTCAAAACGTTTTCCTAATGTTGATGTGATGTCAGATAACTGCAGCTCAAAAACCTCCGAGATTTGTTTTTGAAATTTAGACTCAGTTCTGCCGCACTCGCTCATCAGAAGTCAGACTCTGACTTTCTGACATTTCTAGAACGCTATAAAATCTGCCTGCGATTCTCTGCCTCTCATACGCGAGATCAGTGGAGGATTGAATCCGAGTGTCCTCGTGGAAGTGTGGTTAACGATGATGACAGTTATGACAATCATTTTTAATGTTAGCGTTGGCATTTACCGCTCCGATGATCTCAGGCTGCTCCCGTTGTGAAATCTCAAATGATAAACGTGTTCGCGAGAGGATTCACAGTCTGCTCTCGCCTTTATCTCTCTCTCTCTCTCTCTCTCTCTCTCTCTCTCTCTCAGGGGATGATGTACCTGGAGGAGCGGAGGCTGGTCCACCGGGATCTGGCCGCCCGCAACGTGCTGGTGAAGTCACCCAATCACATCAAGATCACCGACTTCGGCCTGGCGCGGCTGCTGGACGCAGACGAGAAGGAGTACAACGCGGACGGGGGCAAGGTTGGTGTAAGTGGAGGCGTGTGCATGTTTGTTTGTGTGTGTGCGGAAAAGTGATGAAATGAAATATCAACGTCCTAAAAATGATTTGTAGCTCCACCTCGCGAGAAATTGGATGGAATGCAAAAAGAAGCCATTTAGCTTTTTCCCCCTTTTTCATATCAGGCAGTTTAACGTGAATCCAGAACTTTAAATGACGTGAAAATGCTTCTGTATCACATCTAGCATCTTGGTCTCAGTTTGAATACTGCAGATGAACACACAGTTTCCAGCTTGTGATATAAGGAGCAGAAATAAATGTGCTTTGTGTGTCACAGAGCAGCGTCTTTAACGTTTTCAAATCTGCGAAACTCCTGTGAACTCAGCTCTGGTAAAATACAATTTAGAAACACTTTATCTGAACAATGATGCAGCCGCGCTTGCACTCGGTTTGTTTTGTTCGGGGACCCAGGCTGCATTAATCAGAGGCCCCTTCTCTTCCCCTCACTCGAGACTTACTATGCAAATTGTTTCTGATCAACTGGCTTTATTAAATTGGCTCGTTCATTGCTGCATCTATTCTGCTGGAGGCCTGGAGGTAACCGCTGCGTCTCGAGTTGGAGTTGTTATCTCTGGGAACGAGAGAGAGGGAAAGAAAGTGTTTTCCGAGATGCGGCCGTCGGAGTGATCGACTCCTCGTTGGTGGTCACTGATGACTCGATGAACGAGAGCTGTTGTCAGCACATCTGCACCTTCGCCACGGGAGGTAAATCAGCCGAGATGAGAGTGGAGGCTCGCATTTCCAACCTGAAGTGTTTTATTTCCCCTCCTCCTGTTCATTTCCCTGAGGAGCACACGTGTGTGTCATGCGGGCGGAGACTGTATTTTAAAGAGTGGTGTGTGCATATGTGCGTTCACATGTAGAAGACCAGATAATTGCCTTGTTCGCTGGGCTCTGCCGCTGAGGGCTCCCTCCTCCAGTCGATATGGAAATCTGTTAGGATACACGTCGTTGTCCTTGCGTGGAAAAGAGAAAAGAGCTCGTTGTTATTGCTGCTTCACACTCGACCTCCTCCTCTAAACCTATAGGCCGTCCAGATAATGTGAGACAAATGGCCGACACAATCTCATTTAGCATCTTAAACAGGCGTGCGGGCTATCGATGATCCCCTGGGTGGACTGAAGCTAATCAATCACACTACTTGAGTAATATCGAGCAGAGCAAAACTACGGTTGAAAGAATTGTCGATTTCCCGATGTCTCACAAACACGAGATTAAACGATGAGCGAGCTGCCTGAGAGAAAAAAGTTGAGTGTGAAGTCGTCTACGAGGTTTAAATAAATATGATGAGTGTCTCTGACTTCTTGATGCATCATAAACAGCCTCTCTGTGTCTGGGTCTCCACAGATGCCCATTAAGTGGATGGCTCTGGAGTGTATTCACTACAGGAAGTTCACCCATCAGAGCGACGTGTGGAGTTATGGTGAGTGTGCTACGAGGAAACACGTCCTCCATCCTTTATGTCCATCCTCACCTCCTCATCCGCATCATCTCTTCTTCTCTCACTTCTGTTTTTTTTGTCTTCCCTCCCTTCCATTCCCCCAAGGCGTGACCATCTGGGAGCTGATGACATTTGGCGGCAAACCGTACGATGGCATCCCCACGAGAGAAATCCCAGACATCCTGGAGAAAGGGGAGCGCCTGCCGCAGCCGCCCATTTGCACCATCGACGTCTACATGGTCATGGTCAAATGTGAGCACACAAACACGCTCGGACACAGAAAGAAAACACAAACACACACTCACAAACAAGCGTGTGTACACAATAGAAGCATCAATCATCACTTATGACCAATGGAAGTGTGCGGCCATGTTTAAACTGCAGAGGCCCTCAGCTTTTATTTCCCTCTTGTTTTGTTTTGCTGGGGGTGATTTCAGGATGTAATGTTCGGGGAGTGGGTGCGAGGCCTCCAGCCAATAACAGCACAGGATTATGTGAGGGTGGGGCACGAGCAAAAAAACATAGCAACCATAAAAATCGCTGTATTCGTCTGAGCCGGTCATAATTCCTTTCTCTGTCCTTTTCCCTGAACCATTTCAAACTGGTTTTCCTTCGAGAAATAACATTTACGGTTGAGCTGTAACGGCGTGATGATGTCCTGAGGTCTCAAACGCACCATTAGGGAGGTGGCTGTGAGAACAAGACGAGGCTCAGGTGTGAAAGAACAAGAGCAGAGGAGAAGTCGATGTGGAGACGCTTCACACACCGTTCTTTACAAGATCATTTAGTTTTACGGATCCCACCATCACCAACTAGAGCTCAGAGGTGAGGACGGAGCGGTCACACGTAGAACCGGGTCAGAACGTGCTGGAGGTCTCACAGACGACCGAACTCCACTTTAGTCTGGACTCGAAAACCATTTTTACTTTATTCATCTCAGTTTGTAATTAACCAGTGTGTGAAGTTTATGTGGCTTCACCACTTTATATAAGTGAACAACAGTAATGTATTATACTGAAGTAAAAAGTCTGGATTTCTTACCAAGGGTTGAAAATTAGCTCAGACTGTGAAACGTTCGTGTCCAATGGTTCTGCTCTTGCCCAGTTTATAGGTAACGTATTAAATATCTCTTGTTCTAAAACCAGAGCATGAAACTGTGCTTCATCGGAACATCATGTTAAAATGCGGCTGCAGCTGTCACAGTTAAACGCTTCATGTGTTTAATATTTATCCGCTCATGTGTTTGTTTGAGCTCCGGAGCTTTGATTCAAAGCTGAAACATGAAATTAAAGCCGACAGAAAACAGAGAATCGTGTCGTCACACTGAGCTTCTGCTTCGTGGTCTGTCCTCAGCAGGGACTCTGCCCACTTCCTTGTTCGTGTTGTCTTCCATCTGGACCAACACACCTCCCTCCCCGTAGACAAACCCCCCAAACTGTCCCTGCAGCCGTTCCTGCTCAGCCCTCCCCTGGCTGGATCCACAGCCCTGGTGCTGATGCACCAGGCTGCAGAGGGATCCACCGTCACAGATTTCCAGGAATCGCTCCAGGTGCACGTGCCAATCCACGCTCCGAGCTCCGCCAGCTAACGGCTGCTCGTCTTTCCTCTCTCCCGGCAGCAGCCTGGTCATACTCCACCTCGACTGAACTCAGTGACGGTGGAGTGACTCGTCTCTCTCTCTTCTGCTGATGGCTGCAGATCTCTGAAAAACGTCCTCACATCATCGTCTTTTCCCTCTAATGACTTTTTTTCCCCCTGCACAAATATTGTACGTGCACCGTGAGTCAGCTTCTATTATTGGCAGCTTGTAACTCTGTGAATTTAAACTTGCACTCATTGTGATTCACTGTGGACGAGGACGACAGCCGAGTGCTTAAAATGCCAAACGTGTTGAGAGAGAATGATGTGATCCAGCTCGGAACTTGAGATCAAAACATATTCCCACGACCAAAATGTTAATCCAACTCAAATGTCATCATATCTAATTGTTTTTTATCCAAATGGAAAATTATTGCCAATGGCTTTTGACAGCACAGAAGCAATCCACCAAAGCCCTGAAGCCATTTAGCATAATAACGAAGCGGCAGCTGATTCGTTCAGTCCTGGAGGAGGGAAATACATTTTATCACACGTGTCATGACAATGATATTAAAAACGCTGAGGTCAAAAGGATTCCCTTAACTCACCGTGCTGCAGGAGCACTTCAGGCTTCTCGTGTTTTCCTGGTTGAGATGTCACATGTTACATTTCATATTTATATCTCCTTTTTTACCCATAGTGCAGTGCTCTTGAGCAAGGCATATAACTTTTGAAATGCATACAACCCCATCAAAGTGATTTCCATTCACTCACTTTATTTTTTTTATAAAGCTTCCAGTTCCTTTACCCAACCTCTACCTTCTCCTCATCTCTTACAGACTGAGTACACACACACACACACACACA